TAAATTGACGAGTTAGAGTGAGAGATGAGTAATGGAAGGAATGAGATTCTTTTGCTGGGGTTAGGTATACTTTCTGTGGAGTATAACAAAGTTGGAATTTGAACATTTTTGAGATTTTATATTATCATGTGGAATTTCAAATTTACTTTACAAATCTAAAAATTTCTAAATAGACAAATTTCTAACTTTCTCAAAGTACATCTACCTGCTATTAGGTGTCCACATAACAATTTTAGCTGTTTTAGCTAAACTTATATTATCAAATCTATCCTCTGTTAAAATCGACTACGTAATGAATAAAAATTTGATGTAAAAAGAGATGTATAAGGTATGTAAGATTGGATTAGAAGTATAATAGATAGGATTCAAATTAGAGCATTGATGAATCGAGGTTTGGCTCATTTAGCGTAACCTATCGCCGCCTCTGCCGAAATCCAATTACAAGCGAGTCAAACATACTGGTATCCACAGATAGACGCTTCCACTTAATATAATTCACACAGAAGCTCAATAGGACCTGTCGAGTGAACATTGCTTATTGCATTAACGTTCTGACCCGGGACTTCGGTGGATCGGGTCACTGTCGTACCCGGTGAACCTCGCCACTGTACTATAGCCAATAACAGTGATCGATAAAGCGCGGCTAATTACCTAGGTTCTACCTCAAAATTGAAGCTTTGTTCCAGCGTCGAAATTAATTGACTCCATTCACTCGATAACGCTTGATACTCGAATGCCGTTCAGTTGCTCGTTTGTCTCGGCGAGAATTATGGTTCGTCTTTGGGAGCAGAAAGCAGTCGCCACTTGAAATCGATAGTGGAATACTGCTAGACAGGTATCTCTTGTTCGAGTATCCACCATGAAGACACAAATTTACCCTGTTCACGCCATGGAGTAGTGGCGTCCGACCGTGAATAATTGCATGGTGGTACTGATTTGTCCCTATTAACGTCCTAACTTACCACTTTACGTGATAGCCTACTCTAATTTTATCACGTTCAAGTCAAGCATTAAACCACCTAAACACAGTGACCTAAAATATATGTGGACTCGCAGATGGTCAGGTTAGAGGTTTCAGCCTGATGTCTAATATGAAACTATGATTCGAGAAAATTTATGAAAAGCATCGATGTTGACGTTGTTGTCTTGAGATGTAGATGTGACTATAGATTATCTAACGTGACTCATCTAAAGTCACCTTTACATCTACCAATGAATGCACAACGTACTCTAATTCCAAATGTAAACCTTCATATGAAACAGTGAGAAAATGATGAAAAGTATTGATGTTCATTTTGCTGTCTAGATGTAGATGCAAATGTACCTATATGCTAGACATCCAACGTGTTTCATCTAAAGTCACCTTTACATCTGCCAATGAATCCACAACATTAATTTCGAATGTAAACCTCCATATGAAATAGTGACTTCGTATGAATAAGTATGGTTTAACTCCAGAGATGATTTTAAGAGGAACTTCTCGGTGTTCTACCTCTGCCCTAGTTACATAAATGAATCCTAAAAGAATTTATAATAGTAACATCACGTATGTACAAAGTAAACATAAATTATTCGATCCGTTATGGACCTTACGGATTACATAATTCTCATTCTAAATCTGCTCTGGTTACATAAGTAATTTCTGAAATAATTTATAATAGTGCCACATGGTTGGTGCAAATTTGATCAAAGTCTGCGAGGTAATAAATTTGAAAGATTACAAATAACAGTAAACATTAATGACTATATCCATAAAGAAGTGAATTATGCAGTAACTTTATATCGAAGGATGATTTCGGATCTTCGTCCCGTTTGATATGCAACAAGGCGATTGCAACGTCCATTTGGGTTAGCGTTCTCAAACGACCACAAACCTTATCCGGGGTCATAACGATTCACGATGATCACTCAGCGATCCGCCGGTTGCTGGTAAAGTTTGCCACACCGTACAGTATTGTAGAGTTGCGTGTGCTTGTACAGGAAACGTAGCTCATCCACACGTACGTACAAATGCAGCCCGCAGGCAGCCATTCCTGCTTCCGGTCGGCTGCCATGCACAGAATGCGTACGCGTATGCAGATTGGCGGCCGCGCTATGCACCCCACATACCGGCTAGAGATCGATTTGAACCGTGCCTTTTTCATTCGAAATGAATCGCCCGGAAAAGTATTCGAATTCCCCAACTGCCGAAGTCGAAACAGATTCACGTGTCTGCGGCCGGGCCTAGAATTATGTCAAAGTATTCCCGATACGAGTCACGGCTCCTTTCAATAGCGTGAAAGTACCAGGTCCTTTCTTCGGAAACAATTTGGTTTATGCCACTGTACTAACACCTGATGTTAATCAAGTTGTTGGTACGATAATGGGATAAAATATACTGAAGGAGTTTCGATTCAAGATTTATGGGAGATGTGAGTGTGTCAAGATTTGGGTATATGGAGCATGTGAGT